ACACACACACACACACACACACACACACACACACACACACACACAAACACACACGTGTTTATCTATGTATATGGGGCGTTCCACGCCAAATCGGACACCATTTGAGTTTTGCATCTCCGATTTTTTTGAAAAATTTTTATGTTATAGTATTGGTTGAAAGAGGCCTCCATGATTTTTTTCAAATTTTGTTGTCGAACCGTTTTCAAAATATCGATTTTTGAAAAATTACGTTACTTTTTTTTTAAACGCCCATAACTTTACGAAAAATGGGCCAAATAGGACGTTTTTTTTCAAAATTTTTTTTTTTAAACACACTTGATAAAAAATATCAAAAAAATTTTTTAAACCGTATTTCTATAAGATTTTCAAATTTTTGACACAAATTTTTGATTTACAAAAAACACGTACTGATCGATTTTCTCCAAAATTTTTTGTAAAAAACTATCATCGATTCCACAACTTTTAAGCCTAAATTTATAATGAGATAATGACGGAATCTATTTTTTTCGATTTTTTAATTTCCATCTTTTATTTATCCGTGCTAAAAAATATCTGAAAAAAAAAATAATTTACACAGGAACTACTATATTAATAATTATCTGAGACATAGTGATTACTAAATAGTTTACAAATTGATTTCAGGAAAAAATACAGTTGAATTAAAGCGTTTATTATGTTTGATAAATTTTTTTTTATTAAGTAACGTTTATTTTCTTACACGTTTAAATATTTTAAAAATTCGAGATTCAACAGATGATGAAAATTGTTTAAATCTCAAAGTGCCTTCTCCGTCTGGAATTACACAATGATATTTCTGCGTTCCTGTTATTGTCTTAGCTTTAATATATCGCTTGTCTAATGATTCTTTGCTCTGAATATAATCTTCGTTAGAGAAGATTTGCGCATAGATATTTGGCAAAGAATTTGATTTTATCGCCCAGTTATATAGTTCTTGAGGAGTTGAGATTTGTTCGTCATATATGGAAGTTGAAGACTTTTGCTCGTGCCGCTATTCTCTTAACAGTTCCCCCTACTCCATCACAAGAACCTTTGCCATGAGCTGTTGCAAAATAATGCCATTCAGCTTTTAGCCCAAAGTCTTCTTCATGAAAATTGAGATTTACAAAATTTATATAATTTTTAAATTGTTGAGGTGCTCCGTCGGAAAATTTGCCCCTTAAAGTAAAATGCAAATATTTCGACTGATTAATGCCCAATACATATTTTACCAAATAGTACAATAAAGATAATTGAGGATTTCATTTCTTAACCCGTTTATATCAAACATACACTTTACGTTGATTCATTTACGACGGCTTTAATGTGCACTGAGTATGCACTAAGTCTAACCAAATTCACTATAAAGTTACTTTCGCGTTTTTTCCGATTTCAAAAATGTAAATCTAACGGTATAAAATAAAGCATTTTTGTACAAAAGATATTAATTTGAAATGTGTAGAGTTAAGGCTCCTGGATGGTCAGCCGAGAACTCTGCGTTGACGGTGACGACGTACCGTCGCGGCAGAAATCAGAACTCTCTCCAATGGAGAATTCTGTCCTTTGTGACATGTGACAACCTATTTTGTTGTACGTGCTATTTCTTTATTATTCGCTCTGTGCTTGTGCTCTAACGTTTAACGTATTCGTGAAAGTCGTAAAATTGGCCAAGAAGTAAGATTTGCATGCGGAAGGAACGTTTTCACCTCTTTTCGATAGTCGTTAAACGGCTGTTTTTCCCGTATGTTTAGGCTTCGTTTTATGGCTGTTTGTTTATTGTCGAGGGAAAAGGGTAGTTTTCGGCCAATTTCGGAAGTGTTCTGAAACGATCTATAGTGATGTTTTATTGAAATGTCTTTTTATTTGAAAATGGCATGCACAACAAAATTGGGTGTTTTCCTCGCCTCGATAGTAAGAATCCAATATGGCCACGGTGACCATCCAAGAGCCAGCAATGCTAATTTACTAAAACTAACAATATTTAAATTACTGATCTAAAAGTCTATCCATAACAGTTTTTATCAACTCACATTTTTACAATCATTTACATGCAGCTTTTCATTCATAGTACATTATATATGGTTCTCTTTAACTTAAGTATAAAGGCCCGTGCTCAATGCTAGGCAATAGGTAATAGGAACAGGGAATAAAAATCAGAAATCGTATATAAATGCAGAATAACAGTGGCACAGGCAATAGACACAGCGTTCCGTTGAAAATTCTGTGCCTATTGCTTGTTGCCAACCAATCGTAGCATTCGAATTTTTTAGGTTGTAATTAACGAATTTTTTATTATTTCCTGTTTCTATTGCCTGTTGCTTGGCATTGTGCAAGGGCCTTAAAAGCTACAGATATGCTGCTATTGAGGCACTTGACCAGGAATGTTGATTATCGTCATATTATTTGATAATTGTTGCGATCTTTCTGGCGCTGTATACGGACGGATTAGCGTAACTTTATTTTCGTAACTTTCACTAGGACTGATATTTAGATTCAAGGGATCTAATATTGTAGTCATAGTTTGTGTGCTTTTCTCTCCAGCGAGAGTCCCTACATTAGGCGTAAGATTTCGTAAAAGACTTTCGCATTTAATAGTTGATTGCTCAATTGGAAGAGGGGCAGTCTTATTTCTCTTTACAAAAACTTTCATAATGCTTCTCCTTTTATTGGTACCTATAAAAATATTTCATATTGATTTAAGATGTTATATATTTGTTTTATTAACATAGGTACACGTACCATTGCACGATTCATTTATTAAAGCTTCATCCTGAAATTTTTAGAAGAAAATATCAGATCGATAATAAGAAATTTAAACTGAGAGATTTGTGTCATCATATTTCTAAGATACAAACATAAAGCTAGATCTTCATCTATCGTGACGCTTTGATCGTGATCGTAAGCAATGAAGCCGTCGTAAACCGTATATCTATGCCCATATATCTATAAACACACTTTTCTTCGCACGTCGAAAAGGTTGACAGATTAGGTTAAAGCGTTGTAATCGTAAAAGTTCAAACTGAGTCAACTTATACGATGAGCTTACGATAGCTGTTACTACGAGCGTTACGATCGCTTAAGCGAGGAGCACACACTTCTGCACAACGCATAATGCGTAAGCATAAGAAAATTGATTGATACACATGTGCATAAGGAAATAGACCAATCAATTTTCTTATGCTTATGCCGCATTATGCGTTGTGCAGAAGTGTGTGCTCCCCGCTTTTTACAATAAACTTTACGATAGATGTAGTTCGGGCTTAGAGCGACTGTGTACAATTAATATTCATTGTGCACCTTTGCCGCCAAAAGATCTTTAATAGGTTTAAAAGGATTGGAGTGTATAGACACTTTCGATGGCGCATTTGACACAACAGACTGTACCCGTTGAACGCTTTTATGTTGAAAATTCTGTGATTGTTTGACTCTGTTGTTCAGAACAGCATAATTCTTCACTATAATATCCAATAACCATCTGCAGAAGAATAAATTCTGATCATCAATATGACAGTATACACCATTAATCTCTTATTTCGTACACGTATCTAAATCTTCTTAACAGTAATTCTAAGCTTACTTATATCCATCCTTTATACCCGCAATACTACTCTTGGATTGCTCCTTGTCATAAATGCAGGAGCACGTTTCTACTCTTGTTGGACATCTCATAGCATTAGCTGCACGCTCTACATCCAGGTTTTCAACCACATCTAGCTCGTCGATAGCTTCATTCAGATCTTGTTTGTTGGCGAGTCTATGCATACATTATGAAAATCTGAATGACATTTGTACCGGCAATACCACACAACTTATCAACATCTTTGATCATTATATGCACACAAATGACCTAATCTGCTTTTCGTATGTGCGCAAGCAAAAGTGTGCAGAGACATAACTTCAGAGATCTCTTACAACAATATTGGTTTCGTCGAGATATGTTCGTGTGTGATTAATTCGTTAAATACAACTTTATTCTCTGCAAGACGGGAAATATCACTAGCATCCACCACATATATAAGTCCATGTATCTAAAAGATGTCAGTTGAAACATATATAGAGATATTGAAGTTGCTGTTTGCAGTTAGCAATGTTAGCATAGATGTAGCAGTCAATTGTCTTATTTTCTTATCATAACATTTAATTATAACTATCGTTATTTATTTTGATTTACATAAGTCACTTACATCGTTGTAATATTTAGGCCACAATGCTCTAATCTGAGAGCTGCCTCCGAGATCATATATCTTCACGGAATATGACTTGTGCTTCAGGGATACCATCCGGAATCCTACCGTGGGCAGCACCTTCTGATCTGAATCTACAGAACAAGAATATGTATTGTGCCAAAATTTAATACCATACAGCGATAAGCTTCATTTGCAGGAATTTTCGCTTAGTGTTAAACCTATTTTTAATTCTTGAAAAATTTACCGCCACTAATGTGATTGAGTATCATAGACTTTCCGGCATTGTCCAGTCCCACAATGAGCAAAACAATGGTCCTGAAATCGTTGAAAGATAAATGTAAACAAAAGGACGTCATCTCTCTCCTTATTTCATATCCAACACGCATTCATCGTTTATAAATGATGCGTACTTCTCTGCTGTACGGTTTCTTCGCAGCCTCCTCAGTATACTTCTGATGCAACTACTCATCGCGGGAAAAGAGAGAGAAAATCGCAATCCCATGCTTCCCGCGGTCTCAATCGCGCTCCGGTGGACTTCTGTTATTCATCGAGTCCTTCCTTCCTCTTTGATTATTGGCTCCTGCCTCCATCCTCCATCCTCCATGCCTCTTAAGGGCCAAAGCACATAACATGGCGTAGCGATATACGACGGTCGTAGTTGGTCGTAGTCCCCGACCTGACAGATCAGGATCAAGATACGCCAAAGCTTGTGCGTTAGGGCCCGGACACACACTTTGGGCCGGTCTCACAGTCTCCGATTAACGTGATTCTCCCTAGATTCTCCGATTAAACTCACTCTTCGTCTCTTTCTAGGGGGATAGTTAGAAAGAAATGCAGAGTGAGTTTAATCGGAGAATCACGTTAATCGGAGACTGTGAGACCGGCCCTTTTTCGTAATGGTCAATCCAGACAAATTTGCATAGCGCATAAACATAAGCATAAGAGAATTGATTGGTCCATATGCATGTGCATAAAAAAATAGACCAATCCGTTTTGTTATGCATATGGTTATGCACCTATGCAAGTTTGTGTGGATATAGCTTTATAAAGCGGGGAGCACACACTTCTGTATAACGCATAATCGGTGCGTTCAGCCGATACTCCGCTAGCCTAGCAATCGTGAGCAGTCGCTCGTTTCCTCTCCTTTCCATTGGGTCAAAGGAGAGGAAACGAGCGAAAACGAGCGACTGCTCACGATTGCTAGGCTAGCGGAGTATCGGCTGAACGCACCCATTGCGTAAGCATGAAAATTGACTGGTCCATACACATGTGCATAAGAAAATAGACCAATCAATTTTCTTATGCTTACGCATTATGCGTTATGCAGAAGTGTGTGCTCCCCGCTTTAAGGTCAATCCAGACAAACTTGCATAGCGCATAAACATAAGCATAAGAGATTTGATTGGTCCATATGCATGTGCATAAAGAAATAGATCAATCCGTTTCTTTATGCATATGGTTATGCACTTATGCAAGTTTGTCTGGATAGACCTTGAAGGTCAATTAATCCAAACAAACTTGCACAGATGCATAAGGGCCTAAGCAGAATGGCTGTCTTGGCAATGTTTTATGCCTTAAGTCTTTGTCTTATGTAACGCACAATACTGTACAGTATCTAGGTCATGGTGGTCGAATTTATATCAAAAACGAAAAAAAATTAATATTTTTTGTTATACGTGACGACCACCACATATAAATTCGACCACCATGACTTAGATTTTGATGCGTACTTTAAGATGCGTACTTCTAGACAAGAATTTTGCATTTTTATAAAGCCAATTAAAAGATTAGTGTTAAGAAAAAAACTGAAAAAAATCGGCTAGGATCACGGCTTTAGGATCCTTAAGGCATAAAACACTGCCGAGACAGCCATTCTGTTTAGGCCCTAAGCATATGCTTACGCGCATATATAAATCACGTGACGGTCAACGGCCAATCAGAATTGTCACCATTCATACGTCATCATTATGCGGTAAATTCGAAGTTACTATCATTTCTTTACAATACACATTATAGAAAGTTACTATTTTGCCATTGTTTAGACGTCATTGCATAAAAGTTATACATTTTATTGTAAAATTTCTATAATGTAGTATACGTTAATACGAAATACTTTACTAAGATGTGGGATACAAAGTATATATTTGAGGTTCTTTGACGGCTAAATTATATATATATATATATATATATATATATATATATATATATATATATAATATATATATATATATATATAATAATATTTTATTAATAAAGTATTAAAATTGTTAACAGTGTTAATTAAATGAATAATAAATATGTAAATAAAATGGGCAATAAATTAATTTGATAAATTATTATTTAAATAAAAATGTATAAGAAGCGAAATTAAGGGATTAAGGAATAAAACATTAAATTAAATAATTTAATATTGAATTAATAAATTTTAAAATAATAATTAAAGAAATGTATTCTAGGAAAAAAAAAACAACAAAGATGTGTATTAAAATATTTTATTGTTAGTAAATTTTACTAATTTCCTTCTTCTATTTTTTTCTATTGCTTGCACATATCTGCCGATTAATTACACGAACTCGGATATATATGTTCGTGTTCGAACGAGACACAAAATAACATCGCGTGGTAGTTGAATTGGTTGTATTTTGTCATGTAAAATATCAGCCAATTTATTAAATATTAATTGAACTTTTCAAAGATTTGATCCGTGATATTTTTCGAATTTGATATTCATTATTCGCGCAGTTGCTATCATATCTTCTGAGGGGTACATACATTTACCGCGAGAAATAAATTGTATTAAATTGTAATTGTCCAATCTCCATTGTTTATAGTCGGCATTTCTCGAGTTTCGACTCCGAACTGAGGGTATATTTAGACTTAAATTTGTAGGGTAAGGTTACATACCCAGCCACATATTTTAAGCCCTCGTCTTCAATAATGTCCGCGATATTCATGTCATCTAGAGACGCAAGAAGTTGATCTTCTTCGACAGTTGCATGGTACGTAGATAAATCGCATATGGCTATATTATTATTACTAGAGTAATATATATATTCGTCACGCAGTACATGATTATTATTAAAATTATATATTTGTTGCCCAGTATAATATTATTATTAACGTTAGATATGTCACGTACGTAGTACATTATTATTATTATTATCATTAGATATGTCACGCATTACATTATTATTATTATTAATGTTATATTCACACAGTTCTTCTTCTTCGTTGTGGGGTTCACCTGGCAACACATATAGGGTGTCAGCATTTCGCTCAGCATACCCGATATTTCCCCACACTAAATCCATTATCAAGGAAATGATTTCGCGCCAATTTCAACAAATGTGGCATATCTGCAAATACATAAATCTTATAATTTTCGTTTATAGGATGCTGAAAATAACATTTCTTTGGTGCTATTCCTAGGCCAAGGTCCAACCACAGTGCCATGTTTGTCGGGCCCATGTCGCATGTCATTGCAACAACAACGTATAACCTACATTGTACAATCGCGAAATAATGTGCAAAATGTTATCTTTAGTCATAGGTGTGTCATAATTATAGTATACAGATTGTTTCCAATTTCCAAACAAACTGCGGACCATGACGCACTGGCATGTTTTATGTGGACCTACAACTTGCTGTTTTTTTCTATCAATAGCTACTTTATTGGATAAGTACACCTCATCAAATGTCAATATAACCAATGTTTCAAAATCTGGCATGCTTTTACTCTTGAACCGCATGCAATCGAGTATAGCATTTAAAACACCTGGCTCTACATTAATGTCGGTTGCCCACCTTCGAAGCGTTTGTAGCGATGGTAGCGGTATTTTCATAACGTTTCTGAGGTACCGGTATGCTTTTGGACTGACGCATCTCAATGACAGAGCACTGGCTATATCTTCCGAAGACCAAACTACATATTTCTGAGAAGGATTCAAAAGCATCCGAATTTATCCTGGCGTGAATACCCTTTTCAAAACATCGTACATCTTCGTTTCGTATTTCTTGCCGGCTTTAATGACTGATTTCGCTTGAACTGCTGCATTTTCTTCTTCACTGCAGCGAGTTGAATTTTGCTGAAAAACGATAACTTTCATATTTATATATTACATCGATTATAAATTATCTCTGTAAATAGCATTTGAAGTAACTTCAATGATAAATTACTTGTAATTACAAGGTTGTATGTAGAAGTGATTTCAGAACTTATATTTATAAAAATAAAAATAATCACCTGCAAAAGATGGGCATTTACAAAAACGCCCATGTCATTATGAAAATAAAAAAAAACACTAACCTATCAATTTTTTTTCTTCTTATAAATATTGAATTTCTTTTTCAAGACTGCTAATTCCCATTGCAGTTTTTGTCTGAAAGCAAGAAATAAAATGCGAACAATCTATTATATCATATCTATATATATCGTATATAAGACTAACGTACATAAGACTAATACCATGCGGAGAAAATTAATAGATACATTTTGTCAAACAGTCCAAAAATAAATACAATAAAATTAATGTACGATTAAAATTAACTCAGAAACGACATATACTATTCTACAATACTGATTCGTGTTCTGTAATATTAATAAAAATTTAATATTACATTTTTTCTTCAAAAACAAGATACAACATTGGGTGCGTTCAGTTTGGACGCTCACGCGCTGTAAGCGCTTATGAGCGTTAAGGCCATTGCACGTAACAAAGTTTTAGTTATAATCGTATGGCTGTAAGGAAATAGACCAATCACAGTCGATTATTCTCCTCGTGCTTGAAGAATAATCAAGTGTGATTGGTCTATTTTCTTACGGCCTTACGATTATAACTAAAACTTTGTTACGTGCAATGGTCTTTACTCACGTCGTTCGCTTTGGAGTTGTAAAGCGCTTACGGACCGACTAATGACGTCATCGTGACGTCATAACTTCTGCTGACAAACGCTTATTTCTGCAAGGTAGGGCAGTGTGAGCGTGATCAAGCGTAAGCGCTTGAGACCACCGTGAGCGTTCGTCGCGTTCGGACGTACGGCTCTCATCTGCTCATGACAAGCGGTGACCTTTTCTTTTTCTTCCTGTGATGGATCTTGCTTGACTCCATTCTGTTGGAGCTAATCTTCGGAGCGGCTGCTTTATTGCCTGGAGCACTGGCTTTTCTGGAGCGGCCCTGTAATTCTGGAGTAGCCGGAATTGTGCCTTTTTGGAGTAATCTCTGGTGGACTGGAGTAACTGCCACGGTGCTCATAGAGAATATCGGCGGATCATTTCTGAGCGCTCGTGGATAGATTCTACACGGAATGCCGACTACCTGATATACGATTATTCTCCCGAGGGGGTGAGTCATAAAGCGAAGTATCAATCAGACGGTCTAATATTATTACTGTCCTTTTGTTTAATGATTTTTTCGTTTCGTTCTTTTGCACACGTCTTGTGTTACAGTTGAATTATTCAACATTGATAATTATATAATATTTATATAAGTTCATTTGCGTTTTCTTAATCAATTCTCGTAATGTTAGTCTTATCGTAATGTGCTTATTTTGCGGTATATACAGATAGTTAATTTACATTTATTCAGCGTATCCCTATTGAAAAATCTCTCATGAAAACTCATGGGGCAATACAGATGGCAATTCATGTGAGAACTAATGTGAGAACTCATGTGAAAACTTATGTAAA